TAATTAAAACATGGTTATTATTGTTACTAGCAAACAACAATGGGAAAAGTAATATCTATATATTAAACTATACTTACTATCATCCAATATAAAACTTGCATATATCATATTTCTTTTGTTTTATTTTATTTTATATGAATGAAATTTCATTATCTTCTTTATCAATATTTAAAACATTTTTATGTACAAAACACTCAATGCTTTGCTTACCTTTCTAGTTACGTAAACACATAAATATGATAACAACGTTATGAGTGATCTATTAACTTTGATAAAATCATAAATTTTAACTTATATCATCTAAGTTCTCGTATAAAATTAAATTTTTTACATAAATTATTATTAGCATATGAAACTTTGGATTACCTCTTTTTTAAAACCATAATAATACTGCATGCTTATGTTATTTTGCTAAACTGAGTTTTGTTTTTTTTTTTTAACCAAAATTAAAAGTTACTTTATTTAGCTGGCATACCGAGTGTAAATAATAAATATATGAAACCTGTCATAGAAAAAAAAAAAAGAAGAAAATCATTTGATGCATAAATATGTGCATATATATATAAAAAAAAAAAAAAAAAAAAAAACTAGATACGTTCTGTATACACGTTGCAAATGCAATTAAATTCATATACATGTCTGCTTGTGTAAAAACAAATTCAGGTAAACAACAATTATATGATGCTCAAGTGAATTTATGAGTATTTTTTTCTCTTTTTTTCTTTAGTTCAGCTATGAAAGAGGTTTAAAAAATGTGTTGTTTATGTTGTTGTTGTGTTGGTAGCTTATTTATATGCATAGTTAGTGTTTTAGTGTGAATAATTGCCAATATATAGATAGATAGGCGGAGTGTATAACAAACAGGCAAACATACACTTAAGAGCTATGTTTTATTGGAAATACGACCTAAATACTTTTTGGCTTACGCAAATGTGCGGGTAGTTTACAATGTTTGCAAGTTAAAGTTTAGCATTTCTTTTTTTCCCCAGCGTGAAAATGTATATATGGTTTTGTATGCACGTAAAAGCACTATGTTCGTTTATGTTCGAGTAGGTGCATTTATTCTATTGTTGTTTAGTTTGATGTTTTCTGCATCCCTTTTTTTTTTTTTGTTTTTTTTTTTTTTGTTTTTGTTTAAATGAATTTGTTCAATTACAAATTTGATGGCGCAGAAAACAAAGCAGAACAAAACAACAGTTCAGCTGAATGTATGCAATAAAAAAAAAAAAAAAGAACTAAAACACGAAACAAGTAAAAACGTTATAGTCGGGGAAGATCGATCATTAGAGACCCTACACGACTTCGCAAAATACAATTTTTCATTTATTTCCATGATCATACACGAAAACTTATGCTTTGTGTCCATGGGCGCCCTCAACAAAAATAATTTCTTGCCGTACATCACTCACCTACTTTCGTAATAAATATTAAAAATAAATCCTCGTTACCGTTGAGTACATTTAATTTCTATGATTAAGCGCTGTTAAGGACCAGCTATCATTACGAAAATATTTTTTTAATTTAAGGCTCAATTTTCACGAGAAATCTTAGTCTCATGCCCGGGGCCTCCCAACTTACGACAGTTGAATATCATCTTAAACTACAATTGTCCCCACCATGGTATATTAAAAGTTAGACTTTTTACCATATACAGGTTAAGTCTTCGTGGGAATGTTTATGTGAGAGAGGGTTAAAAAAGTGCCCCCATCTGGTCCAAATTTTTCAAAACAATTTAGAATGTCAATATACTAATACTCAGCGATGCCTGTCGAGGAATTTTGACAATTTAATCTTTGTTTCGGATAACGATTTTTCGACGTCAGGCGTTATACGGGGTCTGTCGTGGTCCAATTCAATACACTTACGATAGGGTTTCGGCTTGGAACAAAACACATTAATGTTGCAAATTATATTAATGTGCCTCAAATATGGCGATCTGTCGGTTAAAATGAAAGAATATCAGCACATACATCATACGGCCAGAGGGACAGACGGATAACTAGACAAAAAATTATTTTTAATCGATCGGTATAATGAAAGGTGGACTTACCTTACGCCCTTCTGAGAGTTAAATTCGTTCGCACAAAGTACCACGAGTGGTGTAGGTCATAGAACATCGAAAATTATACACAGTCCATTTACGAAGATAAATCGACTACTGATGAAAAGCGTATTACTTTCATAAGCAAGATTCTACATTTACTAAGCCTTTTCCAGATATTTTCTTTCCAATGTGGAGTTTTGTGTGGATTTTTATAAAACCACATATCCATCCAATAATTCACTTCTTTAAAGCAGAAAATTACATAAATAATATGTAGAAAAT